AACAGCTCGGGCCGCGATTGGGTGAAGAGTGAGAATCGACACTCTGATTGGGTAAAGCGCCACAGCGGAAGTTCTGTGTACCGTGTGTGCTGTATATACAGCAACACATCCATTGATTTCCAATTACTGATCGATCTAAGAGAAGACGCACTGAGGTCAAAACTGAATAGCAGACAATCAATGTCATGGTATTCACAGCGCGTTCACGACTCCGATAGCATGTCACGATGGGAGTGCACGCATCACGATCACATTAAGTCCATATATCGCGATATGACATACCCCGACAAAATGCCCCCACCCCCATGTCAAGACATGAAGCCCGCATATCGCGATATGACAAAAATTGTCACGCCCATGTCGCGATATGAAGCTAATATATCGCGATATGACATACCGAGACAAAACGCCCCCCACCCCATGTCGCGACATGAAGCCCGCATATCGCGATACGACAAAATTTGAAACGCCCATGTCACGACATGAAGCCCGCATGTCGCGATATGACCAAAATTTGGAGCCCATATATCGTGATATGACCAAAATTGTCACGCCCATGTCGCGACATGGAGCCCATATATCATGATATGACATAAATTGTCACGCCCATGTCGCGATATGAAGCTAATATATCACAATATGACATGCCCCGACAAAGTGCCCCGCCCTAATGTCGCGACACAAAGTCCATATATAGCGACACAGATATATCCTATCTGGGTATATCATGTCCTGATATGAGACCTTTGTTTCGATAGCGGTGCCAGGGTGGCATGGAAATAAGGCACCAGTCGTGATATACACTGCCGCGAAATACATGCGATATACATGGGGTCCTTATCATTACATGTTGCGGAGGTCTTGTCGCGATGGTATCCCACGGTTATGCGTTTGGCAATCTTACAATCACGGTGATTTTACGTACTTTACAACCACAGGTTTATGTCATAGGTGGTTAACTTTTTGGCATGCGTCATGTCTTAGTGTTATTCATATCTAAGGAGGCTCATATGTTTATGGGTATTGATTGCCTTTAAAATGTTAAGGGTGCGAGCTAAACTGTAACAGAGCGCCTGAACTCGGCAGACGGGGTCACTGGAGATCAAAGTCACCGTGCATGGTCGCGTCATCACCGGAAAAACAAGGCGCTATCTCTCGGGAACGAAAGCAGCACAAACGCTACTTTCAACTGCTCAAACCGGCACAAACGCAGCACTGACGAATGAGGTGGGTTTCATCGTTTGTGCTCTCTGTAGGGGGGGCAACTTTACGGAGCAGCGCATAGTCTTTGCTGCCGTTTTTGTATAACCTGAAAGCATTTACATGAGGGAAAAAAATACGAGAGGTTACTACTGCAACTACCGCTCTCCCCCACGGACGAGGGGTCACACACAGCTCACTGTACTCTGTACGCAGTGCTACATGAGGCTGGACAACATTCAAACGTCGGAAACTCAAACAGCCACACAAGATGCACTGAACACGTCAGAGGTCCGTCGCCTCGTCACTGTTCCGAGCGAAACTGACGTCCCAGCGCCCACGACCACTTCGCCATATAATTTGGCAGTCCCGTTTTGAAAAGATTAAGGTCGACCGGAACCCTCACCCGTGCAATTAGAATAAAGGAAAGACTGGCGTAGGTCCGATTGTCGTGGGGTCCGAGGAGCGTTGAAAAAAATGCGCTGAGCCCGTTAAAGAAAAACGATTCTGTATTGCAGACGGCATTGGTGCGGTCCTAAAGCGCTGTAACAGCTCCTATTCCTGTAACCTAAAGCTCTATAGCACAAGCAGGCATAACGTCGAATCATACAAAATCTATAGAAGACAAAGTCTGCAGGTGGAGACCATGCAAAGAGAAAGGGGTCGCAGAAGTGCTTTCTTGTGAACTAGTTTTA